CATATAAACAGTAATAATGTAAGCTTCAAACGGTCGTAAAATTTAATGATAACCATGTGTATATTAGTGGTTAAATTTAACTAGAATTTATAAAGCTTTATCAAGAAGTTATGACTGGTAAAATCTAGTCGTATTAAGCGTGTGATAGATGATATCTTGATTTGAATGAACAGGAACTACTCACTATTAAAAATTGACTGCAGTTAGCAATGTGAAATACTGAATCCGAGCTCATCTATCTAAAGATAATAGATTGAACGCGAGGTTCAATTGGTTATGGATGAGTGATACTGAAGAGTCTTACACTAGTACGACTTTGTTGTCTTATAACTTAAATTGTTGATGCTTGACCGGTAAAAACCAATTCGTGAAGTTAACTAACTTAAATCATATAATTTTCGTAGAACAATCACCCTAAGATTAATATAGTTTAGCAGAATAATAAACGTAACTTAGCTGGAAAAAAAACAGAATTTGAGGGACAAACCGTTATTAAAACTCAGTTTGATTGTATCTATTTTGTGGAGATGGGTACGACAAAATTATTTTGTAAATAGTTTATGATATTATTTGCATTTATCTCGTTAATTCTCCACAAAATGATTGTACATGTTGTTTAAGTGTATGACCTTGAACACACTTTGTTCCGTTGTGTAACACTCATAGCATGACACACGCTGGTAACTGCTCGTAATTACACTACTATACACACGTCACTCGTTCTCCATTACCTGTCATTATGGTAACTGAACTCTGAAATATCTATTATCTACATTTATAGACTGCAGCCACATTTACATTATATTCTACGTTTGGCTATATTACTGCAACCATAACAACCTCATCGGAATTATCAATTATCTGTAATTGTGGATTCTGGTACCAAACGCAACCCGAACACGCACAAGCCTGCCGATTTAAGTAACGTCTGTTTTATTTGTGTTTATAACGTATAACTGATATAGTATAACATTAACATTTGGACGTAATAACTTTATTGCTATTTTTGAGTTAATGTATTTTTTTGGTCCATCATAATTTAATTACTATTATGTTACATTTAAAAAAAGGGTAACTATACTTATTGAATGCCAATAACTGTGACCTTTATGACTTATAGAGTTGACATTTTTGAAATAAATCAAACTCAGTGTAATCTACATTGAGTTTTGAGATGGAGGTTTGGGATAACAATTTTCTTATTCATGGTTTCTGTAGAGTGTTAGACTATGTTAAGTGGGAATCAATCTGCTATAAAAAAATTAAATAATTCATAATTCTGATATTATTCTCATTAGAGAAATTGCGGTCTTTGAATAAAATCAAATACTATTTGACTGAATTAATATATGATAATCATTTAAAAACAATTTATACTTTAACTTCAAATTGATCTATTTTTTAGTTTAGATTAAGTGAAATAAACTCGGATGAGATTTAATGTGTAATACAAAATAAAATCAGTCATAAATATTTTTGAAACTCCTAATAATTCTTAAATCAAGCTTCCGTAAGCCTAGAAACATCTGAAAATAATTCTTTCAGTCAACATTGAATAGAAATCTCTCAGAAATATTTAGAACATTTGAGGATTGTTTATCATTAATTAGATAAATATTTATTCTGTAATTAAATTTTATGTATTTCCGTAAGCTTCTGAAAGGACAAAGTTAGACATGAGCTTATAAATGAGCTTGTTTTTGTACATAATTCACTCTCGAAGTACAGTTTTTATTTTTATTTCATGCATTTTTCTACCCTTTGAAGCTCAAGTTTAAGAGTATTTGGAAAATGTCAGTGGCATCTAGGAAGTTAGTGTCAAGGATTTGTGTTATATGCATATGAAAAAAACATTCATCCCTAGAGAAAATCACATTGTTTTATTCATGATAAAGCATATTATACATTAAAATGTCTGGTATCCTTTTAAAAGAATAAAAATATTTAACTATGAAAAATAAACGCAAAACAAATATCTTAAGACTTTATTTGTTACGAAATATTATGAAAGTAAATTATCTAGGTTTGCCCAGGATGATTGAGTATAAAGGCGTAAGCCCATAATTTAAGTAGTTGTAAATTATTAAAAGTTTCAATGAAACAAAGTTGCAAAGTTGAATTCAAGTTCTTCTTCATTATTAGTATTATTATTATTATTATTGTTATTATTATTATATCCACCATCATTATCACCAACAATTAGCACAATGTATAGTCATAAAATATTCTTAAATGTTTTAAGTACATAAATTTGCTACTAACAAAAATAAGAGTAGTAGTTATAATAATAAATTTTCATCGCGACATTGAAGATATTTTATGAGTGGATGGTATTAAATTATAATAATGCTACTAGTATTATTAATAGTGAATAGGTTATTTATGGTTTTTTTAAATTTGTATAAATATCTTTATTCAAGTGTGTCAATAAACAAAATTACTAAATATATATGAGGAAATATTTCAACCATAAAAAATCGAAATTTTTAAGTTGTAAAAGTACGCATTGAAATGAGAGGTTGAGGTTTTGGTGTGGCGGTGATACCGGGAAGGTGATAAGTAGTTCAGTTCTTAAAACTTTTGCCATTTTCATATATTTAGCCTTTTCATTTTGTCTGCTTGTTAATTCGACTAAATAGTGTTCTCATTTCTCAGTATTTACATACATACAATCTTTTAAATAAATCACTAAAATGGTTTTCTGATTATATTTTATATTAGTGTAGTATATTTTTCAACATATGATCATTACACTTTATGTGAGTTGTCTCTACTAAGCAAAGTGAATTAATACACTTCAGTAGATTGATGCTCTTGCAAAAATTTGAGACATATCACTCAGGGTTACAGACAGAAATGTTATCATTGAGTTATTTAAATTGCAACTAACTAACATGTGATAATAAACATCAAGATATCTAGTTTAAGTTCTTAACACGATAATATTGATTATTCTTCATTATTATTGTAAATAGCTAATTTTTAAAAGAGATAAGTGGTGTTTTGAGTAACCCTGTGGTAATTACGTTTGACTGAGATGATGTGTGAACTTCACGTTTGATTCTCTGAAAGGAGATAAATGTTACCAATATTATTGTGCATACACCAAAAGGTATTAATTAGTAAAAAAAGTATACTACTATAGACTTCACCCATCCGTTGTCTACAACTACTTAACTACACAACAAATCGTATGCGATTGGTTATGATTTAGTAGCTAATTTGTATGAAAGATGTCTCGCTCAATATGTCAGTTTGTTTATCTACAGTATATTGTTTTGAAAAATGTGGTTATACTTAATTGAGTGATCATCACTGTGTTGTTTTTTCACGGATATTAATGACGATTACCTCTTTGGTAGAAGTTGACGCTACCATTATAAATATGTGCAGCTTTTGTCTTTAGATTAGATGAAAATAGTCATCTGTGGTTAGTGGGAGTTACATATGACTCGCCGCTGATCGTAGACAGACAAAAATTCCGCTTACTAGTTACTTAATATGTGGTTTCTACTTTGTACCTGATTTCCCCGAACCTCATTGAGTGTAAACTGCTAATAAATGTGTTATGTAATATATTGCCTATTCTATGCTCTGCTTCTGTGTATTTGGTGACGAATCATTTATTCTGTACAAGGCGATCTCAGTTCCAGTGTAGTATTATCGATTAAGTATCTAGTTAGAAGGTACTATAATCTCAGTCGTAATAACTCGTTACATTAATATGTGGCAAACAGTATTTTTGTTGCTTATTAATACGTAATTTCTTAACACCAGTCAATTTAGAAAAGATAATGAAATAATATAGAAGGTTTACAGCTCAGGGGGATTCGTTTTGATTCAATTGCGAAACTTCGATTGTCTTTCTTACTCTAACGTTATTGTAGAACTGTATCACTCCCATACGGCAATCAAAATAAAGTTGATAAACGGAATAATAATAATAATATTTTCATGAGTTTGTATTGTGATCTGTTTAAAAACGTCTTTTTTCGATCGAACCTGTAATATATTGTCTAGTTTCTAGAATCATGTAATTTATTGGAATATAACGAAGTAATTCGATGTATATTTTTAAGTCTTAGTTATACTCCACTAGTATCCATCAGTAATGTTTCTAAAATGTCATATTTAGAAAAGATTAAACAGTGTCTATTGTTATAGTTGTAAAATTAATGGAGAGTAGAACAACGAGATTTGATGTTTCGCATTTCTACATAATGAATAAGTAAATTTGTTGAAGCTACAGTGAGAACCTTTGTCTTTTATAGTTAGAAGTAAATCGATTTCTGTTACCGATAGTGAATAAGGATTGCGCTATATCGATATTTCAATCCCGTGAGAAATGATACTTGGTGGATATTACAGTTATCGCCTCAAAAAATGAAGGTTTTGAGCTTGATTATTTCTCAGACAGTTAGTGTACACTGTTGAGGAGCTCGAAACCACCATGAAATTTCTTTATGTCGATGATTCATTATCACTGGTTACTTCCTAAAACATTATGTTTATTACAATAAAATTAAAATTTCATCATTTGAAATATCAACTCAAAAACGCATATTTTAATTTGTAGGTAGTATTTGTCACAGACTGATCCTGTTTGGCGTACTTCCAAAAACCAGGGGGTACTGGACAGCTACTTCGTTATAGCAACAGGATCTCACCCCGGTGTGCACTCACAATCCATTCAGAGTTCGAACTCAGGAGCCTCGATAATCACAGTGAGTTGTTGGGTCACCAACCCAAGGTACGATTCCAACATCAACCGATTTGAGATATGGTGAAGCGATCATTTAATGCCGTTTGTGACAACTCGTCTGGATTCCATCGTTCACAACCCCTCACCACTTGAGCCCTATACCAGGTCGGAATTGCTGTTCATTGTTCGCTGGTATTTAATGATAAACCAAATGAGATTAATTTATAGTGAATACTACATACAAATTAAACAAATTTCTACAAAACTTCACATAAATTAATAGCAATGCAAAACTAACCTTTATCATCATTTTCTCTTTCCATTTTGAATAAATAACGTCTAACAAGTCGTTGCATAATATCTGAATGTGATGTTTCTTGAATAGTTAAATCTTTGTCTTTTACAACTTTATCTCTTCTCACCTAAGTTTTTGGTTTGAAAATTTCGTACAACAATTTTGTTTGATATATGTCATATAGGGGAAGGAAGAGTAAACAGAATGCATACAGTGGAAACGATAATACTGAAATTAATTAGTAAATCTTCTGACTAGTACAAAATACATCATCAAAATATATATGTAGATAAACCATTGAACGAATGAAGCGTGTTGAACAGGTGTCATCTTTTATTTAATAAATAATTTCGTGATATAAGATTTATGTCCGAGTAATTATTGGACTACCAAAGGTCACTGGACAATTTTTTCATTCTTATTCTGAACTATCACTGATAAAACTCAAATACATTTAGGTTTCAGACAATTATAATACCTTCAAACCATCGAACTGATATTCATCACAACTGACACAGGTTGATGATCGTCATGTTATATTGCTAATTGGTTAAAGTCAGAAATATGCATTATTGAATTATGTCCTATTTGTCGAAGGTTGACGAAAACACCGCAACATTTGAATGTCCTTGCTTCAATTGCTGGTGATAAATTTATAGGTGAACACGGTACTGGCAGATTCAAAAGAATGATAAAACTATAACTAGACTGATGAAAATTATTTTCAAATTTATTAGTTGATTATTCGTCCTCAGATTGTTTTATGTATTCTAGAATTTGTAAGTCACAGATTTACCGTATTTGAAGTACCATAGAAAACCAGGAAACATTAAACATCTCTTTCATTTTCAGGGAATAGGACTCAAGACCCAGTCAGTGCTCAAATCCAGGACCTTAAGGTTACACGAAAGTCGCTTAACTGCTGGTACAATTGGGTTGTAATTCAATGGTGCAACACTGGAATTTTCCTGGATCTCGTTGAAATCCTGAGCCGATTTAAGTTAGAACAACATCGGAAAATTTAAATTACTGGACAGCTATTTCGTCCTAGCCTAGACTCCTGAGCAGTGAACATCCACGACCCCACACGCGAGGACCGAACCCAGCATTCTCGGTTTCGCTAACGAACTGTTAACCTATAGGCTATTGAGTTCATATCAAACAGTGTTAATGTTTGACTTGAAACAACCCATGATATTGTGCGACCATCTTCCATCGTTTTCAGTGTGTAACTATCTCACACCCGACATGGTTGGACTGAATTAGTGACGGCTTCTCAGTAGGACAATGGAGTCCTATACTAAGACGAAACAGCCGTCCAGTGCTTGAAATTAAATTTATGAGTCGTAAACACAATGATCACAGTAAGAAACATAATCTACAAAGTGATATTTAGCTCGCAATTTCATATAAAAAGTAAACTAAATAAAAACTTTTATTTTCATTATTTGAAAATAAAATACAAATTTATTTTATCTAAAGAAATAGACTTTTTAATCAATGTGACTTATTTCATGTTATATTGTTGAATATATATATGGCGGTATAACATAATGTTTAGTGAAGCTGTATGGTTATTTAATTATAAGAATTCATACAACACGAGAAACTAGATTACACAATAATAATCTCCATTCAATGATTAATGAGCTTAAACATCATATTCTATCGGACAGTGGATGTTATGAATTGTGGGATGTGTATAACCAATTATTTGACTTTATTGTGACTGAGTAATGATTATTTACAAATTTGAGTAAATGAAATTAGCCTAAAATGAACGTATACTTGAGGACGGCATAACCAGTAGGCAAAATAAATGGTTTAATATGACACAACGATATACCCATACATGAATTTCTTAGAACAAAATAAACGTGATCTTAATCCATTAACATGTAAATGGTATCTATGTTCGGATTTCGTAAGTTATTTATCAACCAATAGATCTAAGGTTTATTTTTCGCTGTATATATCTCGACCATAAAATAGATAAGTGGCGGTCAGAACAATTTAGTATTTGCTTTCCAAACTGTGACACTTGGAGACTCACACTCTTATCCCTGATAGAGAGCATTCATTGTATTAGAATTACTGGTGAATATCAATTAACTTTAAGGGCAGATTTAACGTTTTCAGACTATTGCCATCAAAAATAGAACATTGCATTAATGGAAACTAATTGGTCAAAAATTTCAAAATCTAATGAGTAGCAAATTATCTCATAAAAGAAAAATGGTTAATCATTAGAAAAAGTCAAGACAAAACTTTCTTTTCCATATTATACTTCCCAAAATATACATAAACAAAAACATATATTACTTTGTATTCATTTCCCAGTCATATTCATCAAGAAGTTTTATGCATTTTAACGCTTTTTTACTTCCGGATAATCGAAGTGAACGCAACAAACGACAACAGAATAGATGGAGAAGCTTGTAAATTATTATTTGAAGAAAAAATCTACATAAGAATTAACTCAGATATGGGAATCTGACAAGTAATTAATTATGTCTTTTATGCTGGCATAAGAGAAACAAATTATGTATGCATTTGTGGACGTGTATTATTCAGTTGCTTTTACTCTTACAAAGTCAATGAGAAGGTAGATGTTGGCGAACAAAGAAAAGCCAGTTTAATTATCTTTTATTTTTTAAATATTATTTGAGAAATTGACGTTGTCTTAAGTAATTTATGCGGTGATTATTAACTAAAATTTGGTTTTTTAATTGATCCACTAGTGACTAAAATATATAGAAGTACTGTGTATTTATGATGATTTGGCTGTTTATTGTCCTAGTTGAAGTTATGATGAATAACGATAATTCACCAAAAATCAGTGAATTCATGCTAGCCAACTAAGGAAATAAAGAGAATAAGCAGTCAGCAGAATGACCAGTTTCTAATACTTTAAATAAGAAATTTATGGAGGACAGATGGACGAGCACTTTATCCTTTTTGGGACTCATCGCCTAGATGTATCTTCCATATCCCAGTGTTGCTATTCACGCTGAGATTTGAATGCAACACCTTCACTTCAAACATTAACGTGGTATCCACGGAGGTAGTGAGTTTGGTTAGTCAGTAACTTGTTGAACGAATATTTTATTTAGATTGGTATAAGCAAGTGTTTGAGTTATTCCGGTATTGATATTAGGAACTAAAATATGTGGATCTTCTGAAAATTACCTTGACGTTTTCTAAGTAATTTATGATATAATAGCTACTTTGCGACAATCTGCATAGGATACACATACCAAGAAAAAATGTTTAAAATTCAGTCTCCAATATTAACAACATGATAACTCAATCTCGTACTACGAATCAATGCACAAAATATAAGATGAAATAAACTAATTTGTTGGCCTACAATAATATCCAAACTTTATTGAAAATCAAATGAATTTATTACTTAAAAATACTTGTCACTTTTTCCATCCCTTCCGACAGCGTCATCGTTAACATTATCGTCAAAATTTAGCGGCCATAAATAATGATATATTTTTATTAAAACAATACGACTTTTACCTTTATGGTCATTAAACTAGACAACATTCACATTATTAATTTTTATGGAAAAAACTCTAGTTTGATTGTTTACATTATTTCTTCTAGTTAAAAATATAGTTGTAATCATTACAACATATGAATATAAAATTTGTATTCTTAGTCACAGTGTACTGTTTAATACTTTTTGTTACGAGTTAAAAGTATGCAAAATCTGTTATTTTCCGCTTGTTTTTCATGTTATTATATCTTCTCCACCACTGTCTTACATGTTATTTATGGAAGAAATTAATTTTACAATCATTTAACATAGTTAAACTTTTGTTCAGTTGTTCTCGTTCAAGGATAAGCAATGAGTACTGATATAACTCTATCATTGTGTCACATTTTTCCAGTAGAACTTTTATAGACTAATAATTGGACACACACTAACTTCAAAACTTAATTCGTAAATCCGATTAGTCTCTGTAACATTTTCATGATATTATTCATCTGGATGGTTGTTATTTAGGTTACTTTACCTCTTGTCGTGTTTAACATGATAGTAATTACGTGCAGATGAATTCAAATCGTTATTCACGTATGTCAGGATACTGAGACTAGATGGGAGGTACTAGATAAATATAGCGAATTGACTGATAGGGTGTGGGATGTTCATTGAATGAGGTGGTTCAGAACCATACAATGAATACCCAATCACTGTTTACCTCGAAGTGTAATGTTCGCTGATGTCAAACAAGGTTAGATAAAGCTAGGGATGATCAGACCAAGACGTAGCAACAATCCATGTAATCATTGACTGTTTGGCTGATAACTTCGAATAGTGATAGGAGATTCTAGGTAACATAGTTCAGAATCGACCTCAGAGGCTTCGACTCATTTCCTCTTTATCTCCCTTCAAATAGGGAGTTTTTAAACAATCCCAAAAATAATAATTTGTCCTGCGAATTCATTCATTTTTCTAGAATCATACTGTTTATATGTAACGTTTCCTACTACTACCAGTACCATCACAACTTTTACTACCCCGATAATTGTACTTACGTGGTGTGACACCTTAAGGGAACCCATATATATTTGCCAGTTTTTAAAATGAGTCTAACTGAAATTACATCTCGGCAGGTCAATGAGAAGACGGAGTTGATCTGAAAAACATGACTTATTTGCGTTATACATTTCGAACAATCTGGTCACACATATACTTGTCAAGGCATTTTATATGAAAATTAATAAAGGTCAGTTAAATGAAGATTCAAGTAAACAAAATAATAAAGAAAAAAATTGACAGCACATAGAAAGAATAGGAAGTTGTTTAAGTCTCTCATAAGAATGGTCAGGTGCTTTCTCGGGCGCTTAGCTATGATTGACCGCAGCCTCTCGTAAAACTGATTTTTATCGTCGTCATTGCTATCATTGGTGGGTGCATAACATTGAATAACATAAATTGTGATTCCCTCCTTCCTTGTTTTGAAAGATGCTTTGATGATCTTGGATCCGTGAGATTCCCATCCTATAAGTGCATTTCGTGATTATTTGGACAACATCAGAGCAAGTCCTTGAGTGTGCGGTGCATTTTCCTCTTCGTGACCGGAGTACTGCAGCATCTCTTCCAAATCTAACCTCTTCTGTTCAACTTGGATCCAATCGCGTCGTTACTTCCGAAGAATCTCGGCTTTCATCATGAGGCGTCATATTTCTTGCTTCAACTCAAATAATTCATGTTATCTGTTTCTGAACTTCCCTCAATTATCGCTCCATCCATCCATAATGTTTTAAAAAATATTCAGTGGGGGTAAGTAGTTGATATACCTGTATTTACAATCGATTGATCAATGTGAGGTGACTGATATCATGTATGTTTTTTATCTCTTTCAGGGCTAAATGAGTTCAGTCGACAAAGATCCAATATGTCCACTAGTCATAGTGACTACATATCACGTGTCCTTTTCTTGATGTCATGTGGCTGCAGTTATTGAATAATATTCCAACTTAACAGACAGAAATCGATCAACAATAAGGGATAAAATAAATACGAAGCCAGTCACTACTCTGTGGTTAGTCAAATGTCAACATCTAAATCCTAAAGCGAGTTGATCTCAGTTTAAATAGTTAGTGGTAATTTTTTATATTGTGAAACTAGATCATCCGGATCCTAATCCATCTGTAAGTAACAATTACCTCAAAATCTTAAATGTGACTTAATTAAAAGTGCCAACCAACACAAAACCTAGATCTGACGTTCCCTGTTAACAAGTTTCCATTTGAACTTAATAATAATATGACAAAATGCAACCGAAAGATGTAAACAAAGGTTGCAACCAGTTCAGAATAAAACTACAAATACTATCATGTCGCACTTATTGTAAAGTAGTTTGAATAAATCACTTTATTGAAAACCTGAGCCGATTTAAGTTAGAACAACATCGGAAAATTTAAATTACTGGACAGCTATTTCGTCCTAGCCTAGACTCCTGAGCAGTGAACATCCACGACCCCACACGCGAGGACCGAACCCAGCATTCTCGGTTTCGCTAACGAACTGTTAACCTATAGGCTATTGAGTTCATATCAAACAGTGTTAATGTTTGACTTGAAACAACCCATGATATTGTGCGACCATCTTCCATCGTTTTCAGTGTGTAACTATCTCACACCCGACATGGTTGGACTGAATTAGTGACGGCTTCTCAGTAGGACAATGGAGTCCTATACTAAGACGAAACAGCCGTCCAGTGCTTGAAATTAAATTTATGAGTCGTAAACACAATGATCACAGTAAGAAACATAATCTACAAGGTGTTTAACTATCTCACACCCGACCCAACTCCATTAAAACTGTCATTTGCTTATCATATTTCGTCCTTCATTTGTTTATGTAGTCAAGTCACTTTATTCATCGTACCACAGTGTTATTAAGAAAGAGATGTTTTAGACAGAAAAACTCATTCAGTAGCTTTTAATTGACGGATTGCAATTAGTTGATCATTATGTAGTGATTAATACCATGTTTGTCTAGTCTTTTTTCTTGTTGTTCGAATTCCATTTAACGAGTCGTAACGTGGTCACTGGTGTGGTTAACTCAGCATTATATGCATTACATTGTGACGTCAATTGGTTCGAGCTCATTGACAGGAAACGCTGGGTCTTGATTTTATGTTAGCTCGGTCTTTTCAACAACGCGTACCATCTTAATCCTTTCTTTATTCACATCAGTATTTATAAATTTAAGACTTTAAATCCTTGATATAAGGTTACAGAAAACAATTATTCGACCGGATATTCTATACGGCAACATGCAAAGCAGTATTAATCAGAGCATAACAATGATCTGTTTCTGCTATAAACCTGCCTCGTTAACTTCAATTTGTGTCGGCATTACATAGTAGTATAACCGTGGATAGTATTCTCCGACTCGGTTAAGCATCATGAAGATATTCTGGTACAGCCTATATGAGACACCTACTTTCATTTAAAAAGTTAGCTTAGGGGTCTAATGTTCATATATCTCACCAACATCATAATATAATCAGACTTGAAAATGTAGTTCATTACATTTACACGAACTGGCAACATGGAATTTTACTTACTATGAAACCTCACGATGATTGGATCAGTCTCAAATAGAATTTGGATAAATAAATATTACAGTAATGACGAAGGATAATAAAATGTATACCTAATACCGTAGTCATATGACATAATGGTTGATAATTAAGGTTATGATTTGGCAGAATTATTTAGTCTAGACACTAAAATTTCGTTGATTTGTATTTACTGGTTTTTGAAAACATATCAAACGATTAGATAATTCATTATCTAATTTAACTATCCGCTATGTTGAGGCTTAGTTTTCAAGATATATATTATATCAACAGAGATAGATCAGTCTGAGTTTGAAATATAAACAACGGGAAAGTAAAAAACACTAACTAATATCTACTTTACTATTCCTCTGAAAAGCAAGAAAAGAAGAGGGAGGAAGTAGTAATAAAAGGCTAACCTAGTTGATTTTTATTTTCAATCATCTACATTCGCTAAATTTTTTGAAATCACAATGATCATTAGAATGTCGATGATATGGAGATACAAGTTGTACAAAACAATGTCGTATTTATTTTAGATTTGAAATTTCTGTGCACCTATTATGTTGAACAATAATGGTGACAATAAATTTCGGTATTTAACAGCAAGTTGTATTGTTTTTTTTAAAAAATTTTTACCCATCAAAAATATCGGAATTAAGACTCATTCGCTCTTCAGGATCGTTAATTTAAAGTGTAAAAAGTTCCGATTTGGGATAAAGAAACGGAACGTATATTTATCTACCTATCTATCTGTCATTTTCTTACATTTATTTACTCATTTATTTATTTTTAACCGTTTTATAATCATTATACATTTGCAATATCGTCGTCCTTGTCGTAGTTATTGTTTTTTCGGACGATTTGTGTTTTTTCTCCTTTGTATACTGTTATATACTTTCAGCGATCGATTTTTGGGCGTATAAAATTAGTACACTTACGTTTGCATTGTCAATAACTTTATTCACACTGTTATTGTAAAGTTATTATTATTATTATTATTATTATTATTATTATTATTATTATTATTATTATTATTATTATTATTACAGTAACAGAATACCAACAAACACAATTTTAATCATGGTATTAATAATAATAATATAGTTATATTGCGCGTAGAATCATTAACAAGACGAGAGAAATAGTGAGAGAAAATGAAGCGATCACTAAGATTAATCCTCTTTTTTAGTTTTGCATTTATGTATGGGTGTGTTTAGGTGTGTGGGTGGTTGCGATAAGAGGGAGATGGAAAGGGTGAAGTAGAGATGTTAATTAACGTGTTTAGGACAATTAGGTCTAGTCACACGTACTCATACATATCCATACAAAGAAATTACGGAAGGATAAATAAAACTAACAACCATCTCCATTAAAATTTAAGGTATTTAAGTTTTAATAACCACAAAAAGAGAATGGAAGAAAAACGCAACAGAATACTTAGAGTGAGACAGAGGGGGAAAAAGAAGTAAATAATAATATTAATATGTGTTTAAATTGGTATGGTGAATAAGGAAATATTTATGAGGAAAAAGTGTCTCATTTGGTAGACATAAAAGATGATTAATTTACTCGATAAATACATATCAATTTTTTGATTTAGATCATGAACCGATTGATGTTAGACCACCATTGAAAACTTGGAAGCACTGGACGGCCATTTCGTCCTATTGTGGTGAGAAGCCGTGACCAGTGAAGCTAATCAGTGTCGGGTAGAAACAGGTTTCTACCTCAGTACAATGGATGATGGCCGCTCAATCTCGTGGATTGGTTGAAGTTAGACATTAACACGGTAAGATGTCGGCTCAGTAGTGTAGAGGTTAAGCTTTCGCGCTCGAGAGTGATAGGTGCTGTGTTGGAATCTCGCTGGGAGGGATCGTGGATGCGCACTGCTGAGGAATCCCACAATAAGACGAAACGGCCGACCAGTGCTTCCAGGTTTTTAATGGTGTTCGAACATCAATCGGTTCATGATTTCAATCAAAAACTTAACAATCTCCACAACACTTATACTGATACATATCAATTTATTAGATTTCACAATAACTGATCACTATGACTGATTCAAATTTAAATAATTCACTATCTCTGCTGAACATAAATTACTTTGATCAATAATAAATCTTTGTTCAGTTTTCAGTATCACTAACTGTTATGCATGATGATTATATAATTGAATTTGGTAAAGAAGAAAAATACTGTAAAATTATCATTCGATAATTTCCAGTTTGTACAACCAATGAGTATTAGAAAACCAGTTTAAAATATAGAATACCTTAGTGGTAGTTATTATCGATACAGAAGAGTGCAATTTACAGAGAAAATACCATCTATTATTTCCTAGAACTTCTGAAAAATCAATTACCATACATTTGACGTTACTTACTTTGACAAAATCTGTACTTCGTATATTTCCACTGACAAATCCAACTTCATCTGTAAAAATATTACGCATAAATTTTATTGCGTTTGCAACACTGTGCGGAGTTGGTATCACATTAAATGGTACTGGTAATGTACTACCATTATCAATATAATTTAACCATAATTGAGTTCTTGCAAATTTCCATTCAACATCACAATCTTCCTAAAAGAATCAAAAATTGATATGACAGGTAAAGAGAAATAAATCGTTATGGGGTCTTTACAGAACACATAAGTTTATTTGATATTCTTTCACTGCGAGAACTATGCAACTCCAGATGACCTTGAGACAACCGAATTTCGATAACTTAACCTAGAAATTAGTACTAATGATGAACTGACATCAGGGACGTATTTAATAAACTTTTCAGTGGAATGTTTCACCTTTTTGATGCTTACAATAATCGTTAAATATAATCTCAATTTTTCAGACATTCGAAACAGAAAATTAACATTTTTAACTAGTTACGGATTCCTTGTAATAGTACATCCAGCTAACGAGTTCCAAATAGGACGAAACGCGTATCCTGGATCCCACTGCTAGCCACTATCAATCTTTGCTTAGAAAGCTTGTGACTTAAAGCAATATTGAGGCAGTCCGTACAGGATTCACATATACCAACAAGAGACTGATCAATTGCAGTCCTAAACAGTAATGGGAAGATACAAGCAAATAATACCTAGATATCTTAACGAAAGTGGATACTGATTGCTTCTTTCATAGTGAACTGTATTTTAAATTTCGATAACTTAACGTCTCAAGTTGTGATAAAGACTCATGAAAGTAAAGATGAATTTACCCAATTTCACTCAACTTTTAGATCACATCCCAGTGTTGACGTTCACTCTGTGACCAGAACCCTATATCTTTTGTTTGAAGAGATAAAGCGTTATCCACTGATGTAGTGAGTCAAGGTAGTCACTAACTTGTCTGATTTGTGTGACGTATGCGTCATTACATAGATATAATTAATTAAAATTAGACAACACACACGTCGTAGATCCCAATGATAGCCATTATTCATCCGTTATATGAAACTTGTGACAGAGTTGTTGTATCTAGGTGAATGGCACAAGATACCCACATGCCATCAGAAGACGATCGAAATTCGATCAAGAAAATCAACAAAGAGATAATTCAAACCCTTTCTAGCAATGATGTAGTTTATAAGATGTAAGCGGTTCCAGCTTATGTCAATAATATGCGTCATTAAATTTAGTAATCATATTAGTTGTTATTTAGTTGGGGAAAACGATCCATGGACAGTGAAGTATTACTTTTGGTTATTTTTTTGATAATATTTATCAACAAAACAGTTTTAGGGATGACGAGATTGTAAATATTGCCCATGAAGCTATGACCCATTTTATTCAGTGGTTTTAATCATTGATATAATGATAGTATTAACAATATCGGTTAGGATTTTAAATTTGTAACAACAGTAGCTTAACTACACTTCATACCACATGTTCCTCTGGGAATACAACAAATTTTTGGAGATTTTACAGTAGTATATCTTTCTATATACTAGACTATCATGTGACATTAGTTCCGATATTCTTATTGACTATTTCAAAATTATTAGTTAATTCCATTTGTTGAGATCATGAGTCAATTGAAGCTAGACCACCATGGAAAACCTGGAAGAACTGGACGGCCGTATCGTCCTATTGTGGGACTCCTCAGCAGTGCGCATTCACCATCCCGCTTCGCGGGACCAGCAGGTCCTGGGTTTGAATGTCTCGAGAGGCGCGATGGTGGATGCGCACTGCTGAGCAGTCCCATACTAGGACGAAATGGCCGTCCAGTGCTTCCAGGTTTTCCATGGTGGTCTAGCTTCAATTGACTCATGATTTCAACTATTGAAATTTGTAAAAATCTCCACAAAACCTATTTCTGATATTATTATTTTAGTTTGCCATAATTTCTGTCTAATAATTTTTAAGTCTGATCGAGTTAGTTTTGGTGTTATCAGAGATGAAAGATGATTTTGTGTACAATGATGAATGCCGATAGATTGTTCTAACTTTCATACTCACGTTGACACATAATGATAACAGTAATAATGTCTTTTTCTTGATTTTATGTTAGTTTGAATAGAAGTTTAGATAAAATGAAATAACTTTATTAAAAGTTAATTATATCATTTAAATTTATGTTTACCACTGTTTATCTAATAAAATAGTATCTAGTTCGATTGAATTTAGTGGCATTTGTAAAATAGGATTATGGAAATAAACAATGCATTCGGTTTAACTAATCATTATTACTTTTAAGTAATTTAAGGATTTTCAATTCTGCACGAAATTTTTCTTTATGTAATTTCTTGTTAATTGTAAATAATCAGTATAGAGTTATGGAGATTACTGAGTTTTTTTATTGAGATCATGAACCGATTGATGTTCGAACACCATTAAAAACCTGGAAGCACTGGTCGGCCGTTTCGTCTTATTGTGGGATTCCTCAGCAGTGCGCATCCACGATCCCTCCCAGCGAGATTCCAACACAGCACCTATCACTCTCGAGCGCGAAAGCTTAACCTCTACACTACTGAGCCGACATCTTACCGTGTTAATGTCTAACTTCAACCAATCCACGAGATTGAGCGGCCATCATCCATTGTACTGAGGTAGAAACCTGTTTCTACCCGACACTGATTAGCTCCACTGCTTACGGCTTCTCACTATAAATCACAGAATTCCCTCACGAAACCAGTCAACAGTAAGCACACGGTAATTATCAGTATAGGGTTTTGGAGATTACTTAGCAGTGCGCGTTCACAATCCCGCACATGGACTCGAACCCATCACCGCCAGTCTCGCGACAACCTTCTGTTCGTCATCCAACGGTGTGAATGTATAACTCTAACCAATCCATGACATTGTGTGACCATCTTCTATTTTTTTCGGTGGGTAACTGCCTCACACCTGACATGGTTGACTACATTTGTCACGGCTTCTCACTAGAACTACGAGAATCATCTGTCGAAGGTAGACACTTGTGAGCACATAAAAGTTATCAACGTGGGGTTTTTGAGATTGCTGATTTCTTATTGACATCATGAACCGATCAATTCTTCAAACGGTGATTTATCATTGATCAGTTCATAGTAAACAATCTTCAAAACTCTCAACTCTTAATTGTAAATTAGTCAGCTAGCTACTCTTGTCAAATTAGTCTAATTTGAAATAAAATGTGTAGTATTGTTTCATAAAATGATTTTGGGAAGCTGTTGTACAATGTGTAGTTAATTTTCATTGCATCGTCTGTAGGGTACCATGGTTTTGACCAAGTAACTACATGTGTTGAAAGATGTAAACTTGCTCATTACATATATTCAGTGTTGTTTTATATTTGAAGAATCTTCCATTTATTATCATAACCAAGCTATAGAAATAATGTTTATTTAGATGATTTCCAAGAATTGAAGTACATACTATGGAATGACTGTAGTTAGACAACTATGAAAACCCAGGAAGCACTAAACATCCTTTTTGGGAGTGTTCTAGTGAGAAGCTGTTACCAAGTTGAAAGTCATGGAGTTACTAAAATGGAAGATGGCTGCGCGAATTAGCTGAAGGTAGAAATATATAGTATCGGGTGTGAATTAATTGGTTTAGAGGTTAAGCGCTCGCTGAGAAACCAAAACATTTTGGGTGTAAAATAGTTTTTTCAGTGCACATGTGTGCTTCAGTGGGAAAATCCCTCCACGCATGTTCACCATGTGATAATATTTCTTTGTTCCACCTTGCATTTGACGCTGCTTTCCTATTTTTCTGTATTTGGGAATATAGCGTTCACCATTGATTTTTTTCAGTTATTATCGCTTTTTAACCTATTGCTTCATGTCATTAGGATTTATACTAGCTGTGCTAATTTAATTTTAATTAACATAATTGGTTAACCGTATTTTTAATGATTCTGGTTTAATTTGATTGATCCCCAAGGGATAGAAACTTCGTTTCCTATTTGTTGGGAATGTAGAGTGTCGCTCATCATTGGACCAGACTGAACTGATCTAATTTTGAGATAGAATTTTGTTCCTTGATGAGCAAGAACATTTCATTTTTTATTGGAAAGTGATTTTCTGTTTGATACTTAACTACTAATACTATTAATTTCTTATTATGATTGCATCCAGTTTTGTTGGTATATAGATGTAGGTAAAACTGTTCAAGTATTGTGCTTTTATACTTTTTATACGCATCTTCATTTTCAGTTAGTAACACTTACTTAGTCTGTTCTGGATTATTTGGCATAGCTGGCGCTCAACTGTCATATGAACCTTCCATACAGAAGCTTAATCCAGAGTTCTAGGAGTTCTGGATGTTACACTTAGCTCGACCTCCAGTGGAGTCTCGTACTAGCATGAGACAGATGTGCAGTTTAAACAACAAACAACACGTCTTTCATTTATTAATCTTGTTCTGTTTAGCACTATTAAATACTCGACATATCAGCCACTTGTGGTTTAATTTGTAATGTACAACTGTTCATAGGTGACATCATTTCCATGTAATATCTCACTAGTATGAACTATCCGAAAACTGAGCCCCTGATGATTAGTTTTCTGGAGTATTCATCGGTGTGTTGTTTTTTTATGGACAAATTTCAAAAATGTTTAGTGAATTAATAACGCGGTATGTATTATCAACTTATAGTAAAATAAAGATATATTAATAAAATGTCTGTTAGCCGCATGATCTATGTGGCAGGTTTCATTGAACATTTTTTTATGCGAATGACTACAGCAATTCTTTTTTAACATAATCTAGCAACTGGTTTCAGTTATATCAAAAAAATTAATTCTATCTGCTTGCATTTTTCAACTGAATGTAACGAATTCTCATTTAGTTTCATCATGGTCACTGAAATGTTCTGAGACTTTAATGGGTTATATTTAAATTTATATCTTTTGTTAGGATACCAATACTTAATAAAATACGAGTCACTTTCAATTGTCAACATCTTTTAATTAATAACCATACGTGCTAATGCCAAATACAAGAGTGACATTTCTTCATATAAAAGCACAGTTAATTACTATAAAGCTAAATTATCAACGAGTCTTTAATATATTAAATACTCAACCCTGAGATTATTCTTGTCGTGGATTGTTATAAGTTGAAAATTACTAAAATTTGATATGAACAGAGGAACAAAAAAGCAATGACAAATAACGGAAGCTATTTTTGGGGACGTTATTTCACTTAATTCAAGACTTGTAAAACAGTAACATTTAGTTTTGTCTTTAATTTATTCTACAAACCATAAGCTTTTACCTGATGTATGATTCATTACCTCTATCTGTAATTTAAATGCGAGCTTTGGTACTCTAGTTTTCTTAACTTAATGTCCGGTTTGGACATAATTGTATTTTGTAATTATATATGATTGTGAAGATTGTTGAGTTTTTAATTGAGATAATGAACTGATCAATGTTAGACCACCAGTGGGAACTTGGAAGCAGTAGACGGTCGTTTCGTCTTGGTATCGAACTCCTCAACAGTGAGTATCTACGATCCAACACGCGGGAATGGAACCCAGGACCTTCGCTGTCGCGCGCGAACGCCCAACCCCTAGACCAATGGGCCGGCATCAAACGGTATTAATGTATAACTTCAACTAATCCACGATATTGCGCTACCGTCCACCATTATCTTCAGTGAGTAACTGCCTCACAACAGACGCGGGTGAACTCCACTGGTAACGACTTCTCACTAGAGTTTCAGAAATTTTATCTTGAAGCTAGTCACTAGTGAGTACATGGCAATTATCATTAGAGGATTGTGGAGATTGTTAAGTTTTTAATTGAGATCTAATTGTTGTGCGTTGTGGTCATTTTAGTCATCTGTTTACTCATGTATCTTTTTACATTAATCCGAATCGAAATTGGAATCGGAATCGTGAATAAATCGATTAGTGTTCCAGTTTACTCGTTTTTCTCACGCACCTGTCAACCAATCAGACGACAGAATAGTTTTCATCTCTCTACCCAGAGCAGTTAGTCTCAATTCGGACTCACTCATTTCCAGCCTCAAGGTTAAACCAGTTAGCCTATCGTTCAAGGAATTAATTTGGATAGATTCAAGTTATCTTTTGTATATTATTAGGTACACAGGTCAAGGACGTAACAAAATTAAACACCTATGGTTATGATGTTTAAAGTCTTAGTTTAGGATAATTCGGCAATATACACATTAACCTCAACAGATGTTGAAGCAAGGACTGTCCTGCATCCTGCGTCGAACCTTTGAATTTTATCCAACATTTATTTGTTTTTTGTATCAAACACAAAACTGAACTGATCGCAATTGACAACCCAACTAAGTACTGATTGTTTTATTCAAATAAAAATTTTAAATCAAATGACACTTGTAGAGATTAAAAGATACTAGAAATTCATGCAAAATTTTACCTGAATACTTTCAAATGAATGACTCATCATAGCAATTAACATGTTGACCAATACAATGATTATAATACCATGATACACAGCAAATAGTACCATACCGACACTATCAACAATCGTTGTCGGTGAATCAGTGTCAATCATACCATCTGTGTATTTATGTTCAGCTTGATCTGTTGTTGTCAAATATAAAATATGCAAATCCGTCATATCTATTGTACATAATAAAAAGTTAAATTGAACAGTAACATGATATAGCCAACCTACCATTTATCCACTTCCATTTCACTCTCTCAAATTGTTTTTTGCATACGTCACTATTTAGAACTATCTACAGTATTACGGATCTATTTTCATATACATGCTCGTGTTGATTGCTTACTGTTAACTTAATATAATTTAGTTATCCTCGTATTATTTGTCTGAGACCTATACTATAATTGGTTATCAATAATTCATAAATTATTTATCTTATCATAAAGGCTGAATCACCCGTTATTCACTGAATGGGTTTTTACAGATACTACTACTCCTGTCTGAATCTATTCCGTTTGTATATTTACTAGTTCAGTTTACCTGCTTGGATATTTATCTAAATTATACATGTACTAAATACTACTCATATTCGAATTTTCATTTCAAAGTTGTATTAACATAATCAGTCGACTGAGGATGTACGAATTTAGATAATTTACTAGCATTTATATCATTCAATTATATATATATATATATATATATATATATATATATATATATATATATATATATATATATATATATATATATATATATATATATACTTCTACAGCTCAATGGAGTAAAACCTGTTAAGGAAGCAATTTATTTATTTTTCACCAGTTTTCACTTTCAAGTATTAACGTAGAATTAACTTTTACATATATGATATACAAATATTTTTGACAAACAAATCAGTAGACAGAGTTGTAAGAATATTTATGGTTTATAGTAACTATTTTGTCAGAAGATAGGTCATTTCTGTTATGTCAGCGGGTACGCTGTTGTGATGTACGAATTGACTCAGTTGGATCTGAAGTCTATCTGTTTGTACTTAACGGATGGGAACCACTACAATTCTTCGATCTTACTGTTTATAAATTCGAAAGGGAACCATTGTAATTCCCATGACACAAAGTAATAATATGAAAATTGGTGCAATGCAGATTTATTGGCTCTCTCTGAAAACACTTTCCCAAACAAGTTTCAAAATCACGTAAGTATGCTGAAATACAATCATTTTTGTACTAAATTTTAAACACACTTCATAAATATAGCTCACCTGGATTGATACGGGGAATATAAAAAAAGAGAATTCAGCGTAGGAACTTTTCCTTTCAACGAAATCATTTACTTAAGCTGTACATTCTTATATATAGTTATATGAAAAATATATATCTATTGGAGAATAGAAAATATTGCACCATAAATTGATTCGAGACTCAATAACAAATGAGGTTACGTACTAATCAACGGGCAAGGAAGAAAATGGTTTATGGGTCAGATAAACAAATTTCTAAATCATTGAATAAAACGTTCTACACGGCTAAGCTCCGAATTGTTTTCTCAAGCCCGGCCTACCATTCATGGATGTGTTAAGGATAGACTTTCGCTTTGGGCCACATCAATGTACATCTATAAATTTTCTTGCTCATGTGGGGCAGGTTACATTGGTCGCAAAAAGCGACCACTTTCCAAACGCATTTCAGAACACTATCCGGCATGGCTTTTAAAAGGAGAATGAAAAACAATTACTAGTTTTATACAGGATCATTTAATCAATTGTGGACACATCGCTCCAAAGTAACCTACACAGTCAAAGGAATCGGGTAGAATGGATATCGAATCAATATTCTATGCACTGTTGAGGCATAGGCAATCCACGAACTCAAGCCCGAACTTTGCGTACAGAAACGATTCGTCCAACCTATCATCCTTTCTTGACCCTAATTCCCTTTACTGGTGTTTCTGGTTTTTTACTTTCTTCTTCTTCACTTTTATTTGATTATTATTGAATTTTTTAAAGTACTGTTTTGCAATTTTAAATTTTAATAAGTTATTATTGTGACCTTTATGTTTGTCGTTTTTATTTATATCTGTCGAGTGGACAATTATCTGACCCATAAATTATTTTCTTCCTTACCCCTTGATTAGTCCGTAGCCTCATTTGTTATTTAGTCTCGAATCAATTTATGATGCAGTCTTTTCTATCCTTCTATTGACATATATTTTCCATATAACTATATATACGAAGTAAATTATCTCGTCAAACAGAAAATTTTCTTCGCTGAATTCTCTTTTTCTTATTTAATGACGCTATGGGTTATTTTAATTAACGGGGAATATAATTATCAAACTGAACTAACATTCACACTTGTTATATTGAACGAAGCCTATACTGAATTAATACGAGAAATATTTACCTATCTTGTCATGAGTTCTAATTAACTATAAATTCGATATTCTAATTAAGCTATTAGTGAATTTTGGATAAATTTAGTCATTTGATGAATACAGTTAAATTCAGAGTGACTCTTAGAAGGATATATCAGACTAAAAAGGTTTAAATGATTGTACTTAATGTTGGTTATTTGTCATCATCGTTTATTGTTTTAAAGGAATTAGACGTTGAATATTGTCAACGAAGAGTTGTATCGAAGGTATGATTGTAGTTTTACTCAATATATATCAATATATAATAGTTATTAAATTATAAATAGTGTAGGACCTCGAATTTATAGATGTATGTCTATGATGTTACACTTAACAACAGTAAACTGACAGTATATTAATTGGATGATGTCAGTCAGTCAGTCAGCTACAAAGTAGGATCAGGCACATATATGCATCAGTCCAAGTTGCCACACCTCATCAGCACAACAAAATGAACACCAAATTCATAGAAGTAGTTACTTCAATAGTAGTAATATATAAAAGAAAGATTGTGTATAAGGATATAATACAGGAAGAGAGAATTAGGTCTTAGAAAGAAAGATATAAAGCACTTTTAATCTCATTGTTTAAAAAAAAGACAAAGAGTGTATACGCCTACTCCATTGTGATCGATTCTGAGCTATGTCACCAAGAGTCTCCAACCATTGGTTACGATAGTCACGCGGACCCCAACCAAGTAGTCTGCATCTACCAACATGGCTCAGACTAGAAGTTAGTGACTTCAGGCACTGATGCCACGTTTTGGTTTGGTCGCCCCTAACTTTCTTCCAACCATCCCAAACACTAATCAGCAGTGGGCGTCGTGATAATCGGTGTTCAGGCATACGTAACACATAGCCCAATAAACTCAGTCGATGAAGATTCACAACCTCATCAACTGATTTACCATCATTCCCTAATATCCCGAGTCTAACCTTACTATTACTTACCCAGTGATCCCAGCAGATGCGAGCAATATTTCTAAGACATCTGTGATCAAATACTAGTAGCTTACGATTACCTTCTACTCTTAATGACCACGTTCCGCGGCCGTAATGTAGAACAGAACGAACTGCTGCACAGTATACTCGTCCCTTCATTGATAGACTGATATTTTTCCTTCGTCATAAGTGACGTAAGTTGACAAAAGCCAAAAGAGCATTCTGAATCCTTGCAGATATTTCGTCAGACACCAATCAATTAGGGCTGATCAGGCTTCACTCTCTATCCTCAGTTCAGCTGTTGACGCAGGCCAGTGCTGAAGCAACAACTTGCATTTAGAGGGGGAGAAACGCATCCCAAATATCCCGCTTAAGATTTTAGATGTTATGTTACTCAAACTAATCTCTCTATGGGTATTACATGGTGATTTTGACCGTTTCTTATATATTGGGACAATCAGTGATTGCGACCAGTCAGACGGGATTGCGTCCAACTCCCAGATTTTAGCTCAAATATTAGTCAACCTAATCGCTAAAACAGGACAACCATTCGTAGAGACCTCTGGAGCCAATCTATCCGAACCAGCTGCTCTTCCTCGACTTAAAATTAGCTATTGCTTCTTGAACTTCAATTGGGATCAGGGGGCCTACTTCAATGTTCCATTCAGGCTGTTTGAAGAGAGCAGGTAGTTTTAGAGTAGCTGAAGGCCTGCTGAACTTCTTCTTAGAGTGTTCCGCCCGTCGGTCTAAATGTCTTGGCTGAGAGCAGACAAGAGTGTCGTCTTTCTCTGAGATCGTCTCACACTTGACTTCTTAATTCCAGTTCGTTTTATTAGTCTAATAAGCTGTCTGATGTTACCTAGAGCCGCTGCCTTTTCCATCTCTTTTGCTTTCGTTGCCCACCACTGCTCATGGTCGTTCCTCAGATTTTTGGTTATCCTAGACCTAATTTGTTTACGCACTTCATCGTGCTCAGAGCCTTGGGGATAAGTTTACGAGAATCTATCAGTGCAATAGACTAAGTAGGAATCCATCTGTTTTTCGTGACCTTTTGGTTCAGATCACTAATATATGCCGTTGCCGTTTCCTCAGCTATTCGTATATCATTCCAAGCAACATCTGAGTCAGTCTCGTTTTCAGAATCACCTGTGACTTTAGTTGTTCCTGGAATCTACTTTGGCTTTCTCGCCACTGAGTTCAGCTTTAATGGGTCTTCTTAATGTGGATTTTCTGCATCCACTGAGGCGCAAGCGAATGCATGATATTATTAGATAATAACCAGTCTAAATATGTACTCCAGAACGAGCGGCAGTCTTCTATCAAGTCTCTCCAACGATGACTGATGGCAGTATGGTCTGTTTGAATCTATCGTTGGCTTGGTGCAGGCGATCGCCATGTTAAACGATGTCTCTCCTTATGCTTGAAATTACAGCTTGCTAAAAATAAACGGTTATCTGAGCATCGTTGCAGGAGACGATCACCAGTATCTGTTCGCTGAGCCGGAATTCTGAAATGCCCACCTGAATTTCATTCTGTTTGATTTAAACTACCTACTTGGGCATTAAAGTCACCTACTACGAGTACTATGTCTGAGTGTTTACCTTTATGAAGAAGTACGGAAAGCTTTCTGGAAGTCATCTTTCATTTCATCCGGGCTGCAGTCAATGAGAGCGTAGGCAGGAATGACGAAAAGACGACGATGTGTGTCCCTATCCTTCCAAGTTCTTACGGAGCCTTTTATCCGAACAGCACATAGGTGACTGTCAACAAGGATCCATTCTAATAGTGCTTGTTCTGCCCTCGTACTCAGTGCTATGTCTACACCCGCCAGTCCACAAGAACTAGCCATTGGGTCTCCAGATACACGGAGGATGCATCTCGTCGGTTCTCCGTTTTGGCGAGGTGAGGCCAAGAGAATGACCACACTAAGATCCTGGTTGTGTGTTTTGGAGACACAGTATACATCAATGGTACGAGATTTTAGGGTTTTAGCCAAGGAGGCCTGCGGGCTGATGTGACATAGGGTACGTACGTTGAGGGTCCCAATGTGTATCTATCTATCTATCTATCTATCTATCTATCTATCTATCTATCTATCTATCTATCTATCTATCTATCTATCTATCTATCTATCTATCTATCTATCTATCTATTCATCTGTCTATATATATATAGTGTTGATCATTCGTTAATAAATAGAATTAAAACTTGATTATAAAGCCTCATTTTTGTTCATTTTATCAATTGGTGATGACAAGTGGTTAATACACTAATAAAATCATAGCGCTACCAATATTTATAAGATAGTGTTGTTAAATCTTTCTTAACCAACCGGAAACCCATACATTTTCATTCTAAGAATAATTAGTAAGAGTGTTAAGTTTCGAAAAGTGCAATTTATATGGATGTAAACGTTTAAATTCAATGAATTATTGTTAATAAAAAATAACTTACCTGGTTTACGAATCGGTAATTTACTAATACTGACTTGACTAAACATTGACCAGAATAAACTGTACAGTGTATGACGAAGTCTGCAAAAATAAATGAGTGAAAATGAGAAAAAGAAAGGTAATTAATGATGGCAGTTTAGATTTTCAATGATTTATTTTAAAAATAATAGTTTTTTTTTAAAAATGTAAACCTACTATGTTTATATGAAAGATCTAGAAAAACAAGTTCAACAATACTATTATAAAATGTATTAACAAGTGTAACATAGATAAATAAAACGTAAAAGAACTATAATAGTTAGAAATGGTGTTTTTAAAATGTTTCACATTATAATTGAGTTTTAAAAAGACAGTGAAGAGTGTATGTATCTGAGGATGAAGATTTCGAGTGTTTCATTCTCCGAGCTGGATGGTTTAATCATGAGGTATGATGATGTTGTTGTCGAAAAAAATAACGAAAAATTTACGGATAAACCAATCAGCTCAGAGAACAAAACAGCACCATTATAGAATATATCATCTAATGATTGCTCATATATTTTTCGTCATTCATTTAGTTGACAAAAATTAATTCTTGATTTCCTTGATCAATGAATTTGGGACAATTGGAACTAATTTATCGAAAGACTTTCAAAAATAAATTTAATTCTGAATATAAATTAAGAATAAAATTTTAGATTACCACGTTAGTCTACAATTTACTAATTCCTCATCAACTATGAATGTTTGATTTACTACGATATGACTTCTTTAATAAGGTATTTTTGGTGGACCGATACAATTGATGACTATATTTTAGGCTGGAAGTCTAAGAGTTCAGATATTGGGATACAATATCGTAACACTGATTTTTTTAAATTAGCTGAATCAGTGAGCCACCCTAAAGTCACTGCATGTCTTGAAATCCATGAATTTTTGGTTGTAAACAGCTGAGACGTTTCAAAAACGGACAAAACATATGGATCAATGTTCAAATAATTCTCAAATGGATGTTAGTTAATGATCAAAATTATTTCTAATTAGAATCTCATAGTATAACATTTGTAATGTGATCTATTCAATTGCGGAAGAACATTATTACACACTAATCATTCCGAGAACTTGAAAACCATTTTATCAAATAATAAACATTACTGATATATTTGGTATGTGGATACCGGTTGAATACAGGACATGTGGTTCGTCCTATTTAAGACGAATCAGCTGAATATACATGTATATAAAGCTACTCAGTTGTAATGCTGAATACCAACAATAGGGAATTAAGTCATTTTTATTCACAATCATTATTATCTTACATCAGTTTTCCATAATCAGCTTAAAGTAGCTTTGATTACTTGACACATTTTTAAAAATAGTAAACAGAATACAATCTAAATATAAAATTAGTCAGTAAATTTCAGCAAGTTAACTGCAATTATTGTTACTCCTAGAGAATCAAATTATGACTTTTTAAATCGTTTTTTTTAATGTGATAGCAGTGAACAACTATTTTATTGAAGTAATTAATAGTATACGCATAACGTCTAATAAAAACATACGCAGGTAAACACATCACATTGGATAAAGTACAACATCTGTTTAAGGAATTAAATCGTTTCAAGTTAATATATCGATAAGCTATATCATCCAAATAACATTCTTATTGTTGACTGAGGCTGTAATATGTGCAGATATATGTATCAGTGTTATTTCTTGTATATGACCATTCAACATTAAAGAAAGTAAATAATAACTTTTGGGCAAATGATTAAATAGGATTTATACAAAATTGAAATAGTGTTAAGCTTAGTACGATGAGAAGATAGAGTTGGTCTGAAAATTTGATGTATTCGCTCTGTACATTGGGCTATACGGGCAGATTTATGGTAGAAATGAAATTTTTTGGTAAATATAAAGAAGGTTTGAGTTTCATAATGGCCGAGACTCTGATAAACCTAATTTCTATACGTTTTAAAAGCTATCATAGAATTTAATTCAAAACAAATTTTAAAATGTTTTGTAACAATTACCTAGGGCATATTCACAAGTTTAAAGAGACCTTAGTTATTAGAAAATTCAAACTTTTATTTGTGTTTACAAAAAAACAGTTTGTTCTAATCTTGGGCTGGTATTAATTCACCAATGTCTGGAACTCCTGACGTCTATTCATAGAAACGTGCGGAAATAGTTAGAAATATGTGAAAATAATCTACATTTTCTTTTAAATATACTACCATTAAAAAGCATTAGATTGGAGTACATTAGTTAATAATCCTTATTCTTTATTGATGTGTAAATTGCTGTAATTCTTAATCACGTCATGATTTTGGGTTTATTTTCAATATGTTAACGAATTTCATGTAGTTTATAGTTTTAAAGTTAATGGCTTTTTGATCATTTAAAGTTTACAAAAAAATAACATTAAGTGTTTTTATTTTTGTGGATCCCAGGAAATTACATAGTGCTTTTTATAAAGTTAAAAGGTTTATAGCTTTAATTGGTACTTGTAAAAAGCAAATAAGTAATTGAAAATAAGTTGTTCACATATTTAGAATGATGTGATGTGTTATGCAGATTTATGTGTCGGAAAGTACATGCATTTCTCTACCGATCGATATATTTCTTGATGTTGGATTGTTCCCCGTCAAGAATACTACGTACGATGAATTCTTTCTAAGTACATGACTTTTATGAGTTACGTAGTTTTTCATTCCATTCCATGAATAGATAGAAAGTTAAATTATTTAAGTTTGCGTCATTTGGCTCTAATCAATAAGGTTTATATAGACTCTTAAATGAAATAAAGCATTCATTGAGACTTGAAGATTTGTCATAGAATATCGGTCATAAACTCAAAAACTGAGATATTTTTACCACAACTAGCATCGTATTGTTTTACTCTTCTAAACAATCAGATTATAGGAAGTTCTAGACTATAATAAAACACCTGAAATAGTACTGGAAAACTTACCCTTCGAACATTTCTGTTGCAACTAGCGTCTGTGTAGTATTTGTTACTTCATCATAGGTCTTAAATGTTTGTAAACCGTAATACCAGTAGAGGTTATGCAGACCAACCATAAATGCAAACAACACCTGATGTAATGGAAAAATGAGTATATTTACTGAAAAACCAAATATATATAGGATAGTTTACGTCACTGAATATTCTTAGTTAGGAAATCATTGAAAGTCAGCTGCCACTAGAAAGTCTAGTGTGTGACTTAACAGTGTGAACCCATGATCTTACCTGAGATCGAAACGAAGCCCTTCAGATCTCGTGGAGAGTGCTCAACTTTAAGACAGCTAAACAAGTATCTTATGGTTTACATTTCTAGCCTCAGTCGGTTCGCATTTTTGTTCAAATGCCACTTACGATTACCTGTAACATGTGACTTATCTCCGGCAGAGTTGAACTTCATTGGTTGTGCTAGAGCTCTTGTGATTACCTCTCGAAGTTAGTCATTATTCAGTTCATTCACTATCACAAGTATTTGGGTTTGTAGAGATTGTTTAACTTCTTAAATTAAATGAATGTTTCTGATGAGTTTGCCAAACGAAAAAAAACTATTCTTGATCATTAAAGTTTATTAATCATAATTCCAGAACGGACATAGGTAATTTACTAAGTACTTTTACATTTTCCAGCACTCGTCAATTTCAATAAATACTGTGAATTTCGATCAGTAAAAGCATGACTTTATTCAACATTTGAAACTTATTCAGTAAATATCTTAAAAAGAAAATGTATCAAGTTATCAGTAAATTTGTCGTCCTTTATTCTTATGACTTTCTGAATTCAATGACAATTGAATGAACATTGATTATAAATCGAAATTATTGGTATACTATGGACAAAGTATTTTTAACAGTCATGTGATAAATGAAATATTCCTCTTCTTTTCATTCAAACCTTCATAAAAGTTAACACAGTTCTATGATGAATAATGTTACTTTGAGGCATACTCATATGCTTGCTTGTTTACGGATATTTTGGAAATCTACAATAGTTGATTTAACTAATTAGGTTCTACATCAATAATAACCATATTTATTTACATAATAATAATGCACTGAAGACAAGATTTTGATACACCTTTTTAGTTTGTATCTCAAACTGGCTGTATCTAAACAACCAATAAAAACCAGTGAAGACTAGACAGGTGTTTCGTTCTAAAATAGGACTACTTAGATAAGTGTGTCCATGAGTTCACCAAATATCGAAATCAAAACACTCAGAATACATGATGAGTAATTAACCATTAGTTCTTTGAATTGGCGCCCGACGGTTTAGATTTCTAACTTAATCGTATTCATAAGCAAAGATGGATAGTGGCTAGCAATGGAATCCAGGACGCGCGTTTCGTCCTATTTGGGACTCGTGAATAATGCGATGGCGTTTGAAGCGAAGGGTACTGGGTTCGAGTCCCAGAGTGAACATCAACTCTGAGATGCCGGTACATCCAGCTGACGAGTTCCAAATAGGACGAAACGCGTATCCTGGATTCCACTGCTAGCCACTATCCATATTTGCTTATAAAAGCTTGTGAATTAAGGCAATATCGAGGCATACTCACAGCATGCATATATGCCAATAACAGACCCTAACCTCAGTGGGAAGATACAAGCAAAACAATACCAAGTGAATTTAATCATATTTAGAATATTTCTCAACTATTACCTAATCTCACTGGCAGGTAATTGCTTCACTCTCGACACGGTTAGTCTCCACTGATTATAGATCCTGTGTCATTCAGGCAACTCGTGAGAAATCTAGATACGTAGTTTCATGAAGAATACCCTCAGTTTCATTACGTATGTATATTCCTTACATTTTATGGTTGTGACTCGCATCCTTAAAAAATAATGGATTATCGCAAGTTACCAATATTTGATCATGGATATCCTCCAGATGCTGCTCAAGTATATTGAATTAATTGAGTGAGTAATATTAAGTTGCAAGTATAAGGTCAAGGTGAGGAACTGACTAAAGTGGTAGTGGCTATTCATCAGCTAAGGTGGTTGAGGAACATAATACATTAACACAATTACCGCTCATCTCAACACGCGATGTTTGCTGGTGTTGCAGTGGGTTTGGAGAACTGCTTTGACGTTCGTATTGAAGATTCTGACTTTGATATTGGTTGACAGTCGTTTTGAGTCCTATATACTCCTGAATTGTAGGAATGCTGAGCTTACTTTGCCAATCCTTGCCTTTACGACTGCATCAGATCCTCCATGTTCGTCGATGATGCTTCTCAGGTACGTGAAAGATTCCACAGCTTCCCCATCAAGTGTTATTGGATTGGTGTTGTGTGCGTTGTATTTGAGGACCTTGGTTTTCCCCATGTGTATGTTTAGGCCAACAGATGCAGAGGCTTCTGCCACACTGGCTGTCTTCACCTGCATTTGTAGATGTGCATTGGATGGAAGGGCCAGATCATTTGCGAAGTCCGAATCGTCCAGATGATTCCGAGCTGTCTATTGTATTCCGTGTTTCCCGTCAGATTTTGAGGTCTCCATAATGCAGTTGACCACCAGAAGAAAAAGGAAGGGCTAGTGTAGTCAACCTTGTCTGATTCCGGTCTTCACTTGGAATGAGTGCATCAGTTGTCCTCGATGCACCGAATTGCAGTGTAGTTCGTCGTATCAATTCCGGATGATTTTGACGGTTTTCTCAGGTACTCCATAGTATCGAGGATGCCTCCATAATATTCTCATATCCACACTGTCAAACGCCTTCTCATATTCAGTGAGGTTGATATATGGTGACAAGCTCCACTCAATCGGTTGTTCAGCAATGATCCGTGGTGTTGCGACTTCGTCTGTGCACGTTCGATCCTTACGCAATCCGGTCTGTTGATCTCGAAGTTGGGCGTCTACTGGGTATTCCATCCGGTTCAGCAACACTCTGCTGAAAAATTTTCCTGGTACGGATGTTAGTGTGATTCCCCTGCATTTTTCACATTTGCTCAGATCTACTTTCTTTGGAGCATGTTTGCATATGCTTGTATGTCTGACTTCAGTGCTTTAGGTGGTATGTTGTCAGGTCCTGCTACTTTCCCGTTCTTGATTTGTCTGATGGCCATCCTGATTTGTTCCGTCGTTGGTGGAGTAACAGCTATAGGAAGACCTGTGTGTGCTGCTTCCGTGTTCGGTGGGTTCAGTTGGGATGGTTCATCCCAGAGTTCTTCAAAGTGTTCTATCCACTTGTTCCTCCGTCCTTGAATCTCAGTGCTTGACTTGCCTTGTTTGTCCCTGACCGGTCTGTCTGGCTTTCTATGTTTCCCTTCCAGCTTCTTCGTAGTGTCATTTAGTTGCTTCAGATTTCTTTCTCTTGCAGCTGTTTCCGTTGTCGTTGCTAGCTTTTCCACGTATTTCTGCTTATCAGTTCTAATGCTCCACCTCACTTGCTTATTTGCTTCAGTGTATTCAGTTTGTGTCTCGACTTCCTCTGCTCTTGTTCGTCTGTTGTTAATTACCGTCTTCTTGTTCTTCCTTTCTTAAATCTTGTGCAAGGTTTCCATACAGATCCGTTCCTCATGCTTATGTTTGTTGTGGCCCAAAACCTCCTGACATGTAAAGTTGGTGCTTCTTTAATCCCTTTCCAATTGTTCTTCATAGTAGTTTCTCATTCTTTGAGTAGATCTTGTACGGCTTGTAACCTGTTGTTGAGAGTTATCTTGAATTTGTCGAGTTTGTTAGTATATTGAAGGGAGGTTGTATGGAACCGTTTTACTGCTGTTTCCCCAGTTGATCAGTGTTCTTTTAGCTCGAGTTCCATGTTGGCCACAACCAGATGGTGATCTGAAGCTATGTCAGGTCCTATCCTGATTCTCACGTCTTCCACTGTCCTTCTGAATGTTTTATTGATAAAATGTGATCTACTTGGTTCTACGTGGTGTAGTCCGGTGAGATCCATGTAGCTTTGTGTATGCGTTTGTGTGGGAATATTGTGCCGCCTATAACCAATTTGTTGCGTGCACATTGTTATATCCTAGTGAAGATTGCATTACGAGTAACGTCTGAGACCTATTAATGGACTAATATTTTTTTATATGTTCTTATGGTATAAATATTCATTAACTAAATTATGTATATCTACATTCAACTTGTTATAGGCTTCATTTTGACCTATATATAATTATTGTAGGATTGACTGTTCTTAAGCTATGTTCAGTTTATTGACTACTGCCTCCCACGTTCACAGCCACTTTTTGGCTTTATTGTGTACAAATGTTATTTCATATTTTATGCTGCGTTGTGGTCTGTTTGTTTGGTATATAAACTCAGTATGTCTGAAATAAATGATTCGCCTAATGGAGGCTGTTGTTGGCATTCTGAAGTCACCTGGAAGGGCTAGGTGAGCAACGGACCATGAAGACGCTAGGCTGATCAGACCGGTCGAACATCATCGGTTTAGTACAGTATAAGAGCGAATGAGTCGTATTTTGGTTGGCGAATAGATTATGTAATAACTAGCGGGCCATAAAGACACAACACACATAGATTTGCAAATCTCTCATCATTTTCGTCTCGCTCTCCCAGTTAATGTCATCCCGTGTATCTTCATTTCCGGTGTTGTCCACCCCGGCCTTAGTGTTTAATTCTCTCATAAGGATGGTCAGGTGCTTTCTCGGGCGCTTAGCTATGATTGACCGCAGCCTCTCGTAAAACTGATTTTTATCGTCGTCATTGCTATCATTGGTGGGTGCATAACATTGAATAACATAAATTGTGATTCCCTCCTTCCTTGTTTTGAAAGATGCTTTGATGATCTTGGATCCGTGAGATTCCCATCCTATAAGTGCATTTCGTGATTATTTGGACAACATCAGAGCAAGTCCTTGAGTGTGCGGTGCATTTTCCTCTTCGTGACCGGAGTACTGCAGCATCTCTTCCAAATCTAACCTCTTCTGTTCAACTTGGGTCCAATGAGTTCCACTTATTCTGCGCATCGTCAAGTTGTATCTTCTCACGAATATTAATTGTTGCTCTGGCTGTTAGAAGGGACATCGGCCTTGTTACTTCTGAAGGTTCTCGGCTTCCATCTCAAGGCATTCCAATTCTTCCTTCAATTCGTAGGACAGGGTGTAAATTTTTCGATTTGTTGAATCGGTTTAGCGTTTTTTTAATAAGGTTGTTTTCTACGGTGTCGTGTTGCCTACCCTACATCCGATTTTCTGCTTTTTCCCGGGCTTGGGACTGGCCTTAACCCCAGGAGATTCACAGGCGGGGATATATATATATATATATATAAGTTTATTTTCCTTGTTTAAGTTATGTATATGTTATTCAATGAATTATGGCTGAGTCAACTCTAATTCCTCCTTGAGGTGAGACTATAATTCATGAACGAATCAATCAGGTATATGATTATAGGTCTTGGGTTTTGGTGTGAAATTCATTCATCCATTTGTCTAAGCAGAGTTTTGGTATTTTAGCTTATATCAGTCCGTGATGAAGGCCTTAAATCTAGTTCCTAAGCTTAACCATCAACTGTCAATCATAATTTTAATTCTTTATACTGCTTTATCACGGTCATTCTATCCTGATTAGTAGTAGGACACTCTCATAACATACAGGAGGAAACGCGAGTTCTGGATTTTATATGAGTAATAATAAATGAAAACTTACTTTTACTACAGGTAATGTTTTAATAGCCCGATATACAATATTTGATCATTTTAGTCATAAACTGTTTACTAGAACACTAGGGAGATGTTTTTTTCGGAAAATGGGACGTTTTAGTCGTTCACTATCATAATATTGACGGGAAAAGGTATATTGAAACCAGAAGTTGAGTGATTTCAAGAAACTTCATATGTTGAAGTAATACATTTTTAAGTGTTCATATTACTTTGTCAAGTTATAACCGTATATTCGAGATATTTGATTATTAAGTACTAATTGAGAGTATGTTTAACCAAATATGATAAATACTGTATTTCAAGAATGAAATAGCATGTTTACAAGCGGCCATTCAACAGATAATCCAACCCAATCCTAATGAATACATTACAATTAGGATAGTGAAAGTTTAGTGAACCCTCACTAATCATAGTTTTATTGTTGTAAAACAGTTATAAGAAGTCAAATCAATATTCCAAGCGCTCAAATCATAATCTGTTGACGATGAAGTGATTGCAGTATGAGGTATCATGTTCTAAATACCGATACAAAGAACATCAGTAGTAGCTGTTGTATCATTCGTTATATATGTTATATGAACGACTTAAGGATATAATAAATTAAAACAGACATGTAGAGTACTTTTTAGCTTACAATTATCTACCTCATTGTCTCACTAACTAATAAACTGAATCTATGTTCAATAACTTCATAATTTTTCTCAGTGAGATGTTCCATAATCATAGAAACATCTTTAAAAACGTACATATATTTGTGTAATCCTTAACATGCTTTTCTACTAGTTTAACAAAATATTTAGCGACATAATGGAAGTATAATGTAATGTTTATGTGTTAGACTGGAGTGTAGAAGTACGAAGTTTTATTTTAAGAACATTATGCCCTCTGAAATTAGAATTTGAGAATTGTAAAATCAGTATTCCCTGTTTTTAATTTGAAAAACAGTTTGAATATCCTACACTCAATTTATGACAAATTACAGAGAATATTTTATGTTGGTGAATGAGAGAAAATTTGTATAACCTTGTCGTAATTATCTGTTAAATAATCGATCGTAAAACCGTGTATTAAAATTGTTCATTTTTCGAACAGCATTTCGTTGGATTTACGCATATATTCAAAATATGTTGTGCATATTTCTTTTAGTTAAGGCGATTTTGTGGATATCCGTTTAGGTTTTAGGCTATATTCACCAGATATTGATTTTAACTGAGATACCATTGAAAATCAAGGATCACTGGGTTCATTTCTTCTCTAATACTGGACGCCCAAACAGTGTACATACAAAGATCCACCTAGACTGAGATGAATAAGCCTTTACCATGATACCTCAAGGTTCTGGGTTCGACTCCTGATGGGTTTATGGGTATGCACTGTTGAAGAGTGCCATACTAGAACAAAATAGCTTTTCAATCCTCCTTGGTTTTTAGTGGTATTATAATTGAGATCAATCTTTTCGTGCATACTAGCTGTCGTTTATCTCATAATATCCTCTCACTGATGAATCGTGTATTATTAATTTGGATTTCCATTATTCGTTCATAATTTGAATCATTTAAAACAGTAAATCGTATAATTATGAATGTATAGTATTTTACCGTCATAGCAAACTCTGTTCAATAAATGAAAACATAATTAAAGCTGATTATTTTAGTCACAGACTGGTAGAATTTTTTCCAATTTTACTCTTCTTCAATAAAAAAGTAAAATCATTGATTAAAAAGATTTGACTATTTGTTAACATACCAATAAATATAGAACCATAAATCGTGTAATATCTGTAAGCATTCTGGTAAATGAAATTTGTAATGGACCTAGTGCTTCAAAAGCTGGCATCAAATACGTGGTACGAGCAAAGCTAACTACATTAGCTACTGCAAACATAACATCAGATACAATTTCAGGATCATCATATTTCCAACGAAATCGGGCTAATAATAAATAAAAAAATACAGGAGAGTAATTCAGTAAAATGAATGAAACATTGTATTAGAAAATAGATGTCAGTATGAAGAATGTAGAGAACGGTAGATTTAGCTGAGGCCATGAACTGATCTAAGGTAGACTACTATTCAGAAACCTGAAAGCCCTGAACAGCCATTTCTTCGGCATTGCTTATTAACGATCCATCTAAGACAATAAAAGTTGCTTGTGAATGAATTCAAATCAGACAAAATTGTATTCCCATTTGGCGATTTGGAGGTTAAGTGTTCGTTTGCGAGACCGAAGGTTATGAGTCCTAGTCCCGGTTGCTGAATTGTAAATGTGAGTTATTGAGAAGTTCCATATTAGAATGAAACGGTCGTCTAGTGCTTCCAAGTTTTTAATTATGATCAAAATAGAATCAGTTCATAATTTAAATGACCTGGATTCCACGGGTAGCCCCTATCTATCTTTGTTTAGAAAGCTTGTGACTTAAGGCTATATTGATGCAATCCACACAGTATGCACATATGCCAACATGAGACTGATCAATTGGAGTCCTAAATAACAATGGGAAGATACAAGTAAAACAACACCAAGTGAATTTAAAAATAATTATCCAATTAAATACTAAATAAGACATTTTTTATTCTGATAACTTTAAATAAAAATAGTGTTAACATAATTGTAATAAACACTAAAACAAGAAAAAATCTTACACGCGGTAATAAAATAACTTTTATCATGATGACATGACTGTGTCCAATTTTGTACCATTTGATGTACTAATATACTATTATTTGTTTGCAATAAAAAATTCACTTGAGTTGTTGCATTAAAGAATAGATCTGATTCGCGTACCCAACGGTCAACAATTATACGTAATGTATACGAACCAATATACATGGATAATATACAAAAATTTAGTAAATTATATGCATTACATATATAAGACCTGAATCCTGCAAAGTAGATATGTTTAATATCAGCAAGTAGTAGTCCTATTAAACAATAAAAAAAACAGGTAGACAATATGATATAGATCATGCATTAAAAGGTACAATTAAGTAAATAAGTCAATTAGCTAACCAACTAGTCATTAAAATATATCAAATTAAAATAATCGAATAATGTTATTTAAATAACACCTATTTTTAAGTGAAATTTGTAACAAATCGGGTTAATATTAGAAAAAAAAACAAGAATTAAGAGAGAGATCTCTTTATACTTGTTTGGGTGATGAATACCTCTGACCCCATCAGGAGATCGAATCCAAGAAATTTTACTTTTGTTACAATACAGTAATGGTCATTATTTCTAATCTAATACGAGTATACTTAAGTGTTTACTTTCAGTAAGTAGACAACACATTTGAATGACACTAGAACAATCCAGATAAGATAGATTTACACATGTGTAGATTTACATTATTTAAGTACCCGAATTACTGAGTGAAGTACAAAGATTAAAATAAAATACAGCCAGGAACATTGGCAGGTAGACTTAAGTTTAATATTTTGTAGCATTATAAAACGGTAATCGAAGACGAGCATCTTAGAGAATAATGCAAAATCTTTAAAAGACATTAATTTATTAAATTAACTCTTCTTGTGTTTGAGTTTTTGATAGTGTCTGTAAGTGGATGCATAATTTTACAAAAAGAAAGTAGAAGTACAAACTCTAAGTGATATCATTGTGATAAAAACTTATGTATTTAGAGCGGTGAATACGCTGGGATTATCTAACTACTTATTATTCATTTGAGTGTTTTATTGCCTTAGTTACTGTCACGTATCAAACTAACCAGACGATGTTTTGAAAGATTAAATTGACGGAATTTGTTACCATACATTTCTACTTATAATTCTAGTTGGTAAAGGACCCCGAGACATTTGGTTGTATGATGAACAGCTGAACGTGGCTAAAATGCGTTTATTATGATCGAGAAGTAATTGAATAATAACTTTTAACCTTAGTTTGTATAATTTTACCCTAAATATTAAATTTCTTTTTATCAAACAAACGTGTAGAACTATACAACAGGAAAATATAGTGATTTATTAAAAATCATAGGTTTCTAGTATCATCTATAGGAGATATGAAACTAAGATAGATGTTTATGATAACGTTGCGTTCCTTGATGGTTCGATTAAACAGCTCTCACGATTATTCAAGACAACACCATCGGTGTCTACTTTTTGACTTGGTTACGTTATAACTTAATTGATAGAATTCGACCATCATTAAAGATTGACTACTACAAAAGTAGATCCGAAGCTTATTGGTTCGATCTCATGCACTATACGCACTATTGAGAAATCTATCCTTATTTTTCCAATATTTTCCCCACTAAAGTTGTTTAGTAGTCATTTAGTCACAGGTTTATTGTAAAAAAAGTTATATTGTTTTTAGAAGAAAAAAAGACTGTTCAATTACTTACCGGCTACCCACAATACAATACATATTTGAACATGTGTTATAATTGCTTTAGATGGTCGAAAGTTTTTTTGTACCCATTGTCGTATTGTTTCTTCATCCCCTGTACCAAGCATTTGTTCGTCTAATAATGCATCATAATTCTCTTCTAAACGGAATGTTGCTGCAGCGAGTAATATTAAAAATAAAAAATGGGATACAACATGAGTTGCAAATTTAGCTGCCGGACATCGCATTGAACGAGCAATCTGTTTTTTATAAAACAAGAGAAAAAAAGTTGGGAATATGTACAATCTGTAGTGCATAATTTAATTTTTACATTTATTATTGCAATTTGGTTTTATGAATTGTCCAGTTGTAACATTCGTAACTTTATATTAAAATCGGAATTTTCTCATTCTGATTCGGCTCTCTAGATGTTATGATTTATGGGTAATTTTTTTTTGAGAATCTAAGACGATTTACTACGATCTCTCTGTAAAACGAATTCACTGTCATCAATAATTTAATTCCATTCGGTGCTGTCCTAAAAATACTTACACCAGAGGCTGTAACTCAGTACACTAGTGAAATTACAATGAATTTGAACGATGTAAAGAAGTCTATACTTTTCTACAAACTGAAATTTTCCATCTAATTTTTTTATGAACTTGTTATATGAATCCCTTACGCTGTTCCTAATCAATGTCAAAGTTCATCATTCACTTCATTATTGTGAGAATTCTTACAGAACAAGGGATTTATTCAAATAAAATATATCTAAATGAATACGTCATTAAACCACCAAGCACATATATGACGACGGACCAATTACAGTAAGCCTTTTTTGTTTTTCTTTGTTGTCTTTTTCGTCGATTCCCTTCAAGTTTTGGATGACTATAAGTATGCTGTAACGATAGTGAAACCATGTTTGCTATGTTATTCATTCAAAAATATGACATTCTACTCTTTGTAGTAAGAAACCATGTTGTTTAAATCCTAATTATGGTACGTTCGATATATTAAGAACCATTTGAGAATTTTATATATATATCACCTGAATTTCTATCAGTAAAATGATGAAGCGAATTGTATGCACAGATATTTACATGTTTAACCTGGAATAAATGAACTTTATAAATCTATCAGAATATTTTCCTGATTATCATGATCATCATTGTAAAATATCGGCTTTGAAATGATTTCGTGTATTTTGTTCACCAGTATAATTACTGAAATTTTTTAAAAACCAAACAATACTGAGAAAAGCTAAGGATAGATTTTTGATTAGTTTAAAAAGATTGGCCTTTATAATCGACATTGCTTGTTTTCAAATAATATCTAAATAGACTGACTTTCATTGTCTATTTCTCATATGTTCGTGTTTCAATGTACATAGTCAAAAAATACATTTATGTTTCAGTTGAATATTTTTCAATGAAATATTTGAAATATTTTGAATATATATACATTAAACAGTAGGGATGAGTCAATAATTGAACAAATGGCTTTTAGTAAAAAATTTGAAATGAATTACTTATGTATTATGTCATACAGAGTGAGTAGCAAAAACCCACTTCTATATTAATTAATTAATTAATATATTTGTATCATCCCAACAATAGGGAAATTAGATTTTCTGACGTTTCGTGACTCAGTGTAGGCCAAGTTTGAATAATACAAAGGAACAACACAAGAATATCATGTGCGATCAATCAAAAACAGGTCTGAACAAGTCAATGTTATGTCATTTCAGTCAAGGTGATTTATAAGCGACATGTATGTAAATTTGTGCGTGTGTGTACGTGTGCAAGGTCAGGGATGAAAAATTGTGACCTTTGTGGTTCGAGAGGATGGAGCTTCATTTGTATGTACGATAATAGTGTGAAATGTGAGTAATATCAGACATGGTAGCTAGGATAGATAGTCCAGACAGCCCAACTCTGTAATTTGTCTGATTGACAATTGTTTAAAATTCGTTGTGGTTATTTCACTACCTCCTCTCTACCATACACTTGGGTACTAAAATAAATGACCACGTGATGGGTGTTAAGTACTGGTCCATTTTATGAACTCAATAAATCTCAATCAAATCTCTATAGGGACCCAAATCACGTTCTCGTTAGAGGTTAATTTTAACAGATGTTTCAGTTATAAGCCGTAACTCGAGGATTCAGCAATGCCAACTACGAGTCATTTAAACATTATTGACATCAAACACCGGTCTCACAATATCGCGAACTAGCCGAGGTTAAAAATGTACACTATTTGGTGCTCACTCGGTCGTCTAAAGGTCATGCACGCTGCTGCCAAGGAGTTCTATACTGAAATGAAACAGAAATCCAATATTTGGTTATGTTCAATGGTTGCCGAACTAAAATCAATTTATAATACAAATTTTGGAGGGAAAATAACATTAAATGAAAATTAAAAATCAGTGGTTTATCACGTACATTCGAGGTAGGCAGTATAATGTATATTAAACAGAATAATGGAAGCAACGGTGTAGCAGCTATGGAAAGACCAATTTTCCTAATTAATGACCATGATTGAAGAAAAGCTGTTTCTGATCCATACCATATACTAGTAAGATATTGTTGACAATTTGGATGAGCAACAAACTGGCCGGGGTTCGGAGGTTAAGGTGATGGGAAATAAGAAAAAAGGAAACACAAATTGAAAATAAGTTATTATTCCTATCAACTTAGTGCTTAAATCCATTATTAATAATAATTGGTATATATGAATAAATTTAGAATACTTTTCAAAAACTAAAATGAATTGAAGATAGTTATTGACGAAATCAATTAATTCCTGATTTTTGTGCCTTTTAAAGTCTGTTCATTCACCAATGATGACTCGTTTTTTCATTTAGAATGAATAAATCTATTGAGGTAAACTATTTTCATTTCTTAATGAAATTATAAATAAAAAGAATTCAGCGAAGAAAATTTTCTTTTCGACGAAGTCATTTACTTAAGCTATACATTTTCTGTATATTTTCCATATCACTATAAATTTTCTTCACTGAATTCTCTTTTTCTTATCCAAGTTATAAATATCACTGTTTAAATAGTTAAGGGAAGCAATTTGTAACTAGTTGAAGTTGAAAATAGTTTACACTAAAGATAAAGATTAGTTGGGAAATTATTGTAAATCAAGACAGTATTGGAATGACGTTTTGATTTTGTTGTAACGGGTGTGACTGCAGGTTTTAGATACGCAGCGTTATTATCGATCGCGATCTGTGACAGTGACACGGAAAACACGTACGGACGACCTAGTGCCCTGATTGGCCCTGCCTCGCTGTCTGTCCTAGCCAGTTGAGTCAAGAACACAAGTCACAGCCTCTGGGTTATGAATCATTGTATTTCAAACATACTCTATTTATATACCAAGCAAACAAACCACATCGTACCATAAAATAGGAAACAACATTTGTACAATATTTAACAAGTGAAATAAACATCGACCAATAAGAAATGTACATTTAAGGTTCAAGGACACCATTGAACTTAACATGGTAATTATTGGTCTCTTTTTCCGACTATCCTAACAGATTTAAGTTCAGATTTTACCACAACGCTTGACAATAATTAGCATGCGGGTCAATTTTGTAAACGATTACTGTAAAGCTTTTGTACTTTGCATCAAGTAAATTTAAACTGATACTGTAGTGAAGAAGAACACAGTGGGGGAAATCGAATGTAGTTGAACACAAATTTACAAAACTTCTAAGTAAAATCTGAGAACAAGACAGTAAATACTTAATTTGCAGAATGTCAATCAATTGTCTCAAACTTGACTGTTCCTTTTGTAAATATTAATCAATCGTCTCAGACTTCACTGTTCCCTCCTTTTCACAACAATCCTTCTTTGGTCTCGTCTACTTTTCTATGATCGTCTTAACCTTCTGCCGCCAGACATTTCACTTTTGATTAATGATACATACTACTTACATCTGTCGACATCACTAGCACACACCAAAATATAATAACATACCAATCGGATAAGTTTTTTATTGTTCTATGCTTTTAATTTAAAACAGGTTAAAAATATGAACTAACAAATTTCACTTCAGTGACTCAATTATCATATGTTTTACACAACATTTAAATTGCTCATATCCTATCCATAATAGTAGTGTGGATTTACAACACTAAGGATTCATTTCTTTGGATTTTTTAAAAATATACTCATTACTGACTCTATTTTCCTACAGAAAATGTTCTCAACCAAATAATCTGATTCATTTCATTTTCGCAAATTCATTGAAGCAAAAAAATCTTATTGAACTTTCTACACTCTTTAACAGTTATCATGATCAACTTTCATTTTAATGTAATGTACAGTTTAATTGATACATATGAAACCAACAGAGCTTTATATATATATATATATATATATATATATATATATATATATATATATATATGTATATATATATATATGTATATATATCATATTAAGTAGTATCCTGCTGAATGTTATCAAAATAATTAAGTATTCTTTGATAATAAATTCCTATACAGAAATCCTAATTATTCATTTTTTATTTCCTATCATTGATTTGTTTGTTTCAAATCGTTCTCTTTTTTCTTATCTACTTTGATTACTATTAATGAAATATGAAAATATAACAACGACAACGACGACAGCACCGATAACAACAACAACTCATCAAGGGATGAAATGTTTTTGTGCAAATTTCAATAAGGTTCGTCCAATTTTAAAGAATGTTCATATAAATATATATACATATAAAGAAAAGAAAAGAGATTGAGTAACTGAATTTTTGAAGAATAGAAACTGTTAAGAACCATTATTTCATTTGCTGAGATTTCTTTGTTTCCTCTCATTTTCATTATTTCAACACGATCTTCTCTCCAAATAAGATTATGCTCTAAAAGATTGCCATCAATAATACAAATAATAGTAGTGACTGTAATATATATATAATTAACTATCTTGAAATAAAATTCGACGGAAGTGAAAACAGTCGGAATGATTATTTTTATCATGATCGCTTTGACATGCTTACAAACGTAGATACATACCGAGATTATATATGTATATATGCGTACATAGAGCTACATTTATTTATATTGATGAGTTAGACTGTTAATTTTCTCATGACAGATTTACATATTGTAATCATGTTCTTAAAATTATACTTATCTGTAGGAAATTTTCTTATCTCATTAGTTTCCTGATTTATACATGATAGGATTTACAAGTCATGAGGTAATAAGCAAGCAAGCAGATAATC